AGACCCCTCCCCTCGGCCGAGCCGCCACCGCCACCTCACCGCGCAGGCGCAGGCCCCGGGGGGGCGGGGCTCGGGCTGCGCAGCACCGCCCCCGGCAACGCGCATGCGCGCTACTTCCCCGCGCTCCAGCAATGGGTCTTTAAACTTCCACCTGCTGCGTTTGGTCCGTGGCCGGGTCCCGCACCGCCGGGGGTAGCGGCCAAGGCCCCGCTTGCTTTCTCTTCGCCATTTAGTACTTTGCAAGCCCGTCTCATGCTCCCCCCCCCGTGTCTCTTTTCTGCCTCCCAGTTCATCGGATTCAACTTGAGCAGGGCCCTCTAGCGCTGAAGGGTTGCACTCCAGTTTTCTGATTCGTATGTTCAGCCGGGATGTGAGGAAATCCCGAGGGCCCTGTTGAGTCCTAGGGACCATCGTTTATAAAACCGGTCTGATGAAAAGTTTTGTCCTCATGAAACACCTGTGGAAATGTTTTATGTCCTACACAGCAGTGGCTCTGCCTTTGCCCCTCGTGTAGTGATTACACTCCTCTCTCCAGCTCGGAGAGGAAGTATTTTATCCCAACTTTTACAAGCATAAGTTACTACAGGTTTCCCTCGCTTTATGTTGTACGTTGGTTCCTGGAAAGTGGCACATAACTCGAATTCACATAAAGGGAACCCACTTTACAATGTAACGAATAGGGATATGTTCCAACACCTGGACTGTACTGACCCCCAGGCCCGTTTCTACCGTTTTTACAAAACAATTTTGGTACTCGCCAACAGCAGAGACGGGTAGGAGATAAGCTAGCGGGATGCATAGAAGCCTTAATGGGGATGGCAACTACAGAAACACGTGTTGCAGGCAACGAGCGAGGAGCAGAGATTCGCACGGGAAACTATATTTTGGTGCACGTCACTCCCACAATGCACCGCATAAAGCAGCTGACTGCGGGCTTCCACCACACCCTTCGCAATCACATAAGTGAATTTATCTTGCATATAACAAATTTTTGGTATAAAAAGGTCATTGTATAAGAGCGAACTCGCACATAGAGAACCTGCATAAGGCAAGGGAGACCTGTACACTTGTTGCAAGATTATAGAGAATCATGTGCCATCATTGCATTGTGCAGAGCACCCATGAGACGTACCTTAGAGAAAGGGACTCTAAACCTACTCATCAACCGCACTCCCTTGATTCAAGGATGATCTCTACTGTGGATAACTGAAGGTGTCTTGAGCTGACTTCAAAGTTCAATCCTCAAGCCACAGATCTGTTCACAGAAGTTGCGGGTCATTCTGCAGAGGAGAGCATGCCGTAGGCTAGGATTTTTCTCCTTTTCTTCCCTCTGTTCTCATTTCTGTGCTTCGAGGGCAAGACATTTTACCTCAAAATGGGCTGCCGTCTGCCGCTTGGTTGAGGTTGCTGCAGCACTGGAGTCAGTCAGTAGCCAGCTCCTCTCAACTCTCTCAACCAAATAGGATCTTTAGTCATCCTGTGAAATCTCTCCTCATACAGAAGCCCCTCCATACCACTCATCGTCCTTGTTGACCTCTGATTCTTCTGTTCCCTTTTTTGAGAGGTGAGGATCAGAACTGGGCACAGCATTCAAGGTGTGGACACACCATGGATTTATAAAGGGTGATACTTTCCGTTTTAGTTACAATGTCTGTCTTAATAATCCTTAACATTTTGTTTGCTTTTTTAAATGGCAGCTGAGCACTGAGCTTGTTTTTAGTGAACCATCCATAATGACTTCCCTTCACATGCCCTGCAGATTACATTGACTGGACTAAAATGGCTTGAGTTACATTACTACTGCTTGTTGATGCTGCAGTTACAGCCAGGGATGCAAACTGCTCCCTTTTGGGATAGATGCATACCCCAGAGAGCCAGCTGTACCTTTTCCCATCTTGTTCAACGTAACCAGACTCAGTGATGGGAGAAAGTTCAGCCTAGGAAATTCCTAAACTGGCAAGTGCTTTGTCAGCCTGCTTGATGTCCTATTATCTCTCACTTTAGGTTTGAACCTTGACTGGGATTTTTAAAGGATAAATGGATACATAAATGACTACCCTGCTCTTCTGAGTCCCTATGGTCAGGGCTGCTGAGCCACTCTTTTCCCCAGACCCAAGAGTAGCTCAAACGGGCTCTTGAGATTCCCTGATTAGTAGCATAGCTATCCACCCCAGCCCTCGACACTGCTCAGTGCAATAACAACATTTTGGCCTGACCCATCTACCCATATATATGGCTGTTCCAGTCACTTGGTTTAAAGCAAGGCCCAGAATGGCAGGGTCTGGCTTTCCATCCTAAACCCTCTCTGGTGGAACTTCAGGTTGATACTCATTCATCCTGCTCAGCAGTGTGATAATCCCTTCAGCTTTGTATAGCTTAAGTGTGGGCTCCAAGGGACACTTTAATTTTCAGTATTCTAAAAGTCAACATGAGCAATAGCTTTTCCCAGAGTTTTCTTTAAAATGATAAGATGAGAGGATGTTTTCTTTCAGTTGTGGAAAATCTCAGTTTGAACGGTAGAAACTGTCTTGTACTCAGCAAACCGTGCACACCAGTACAAATTTTCAAGAATATAAAGAAACTAACATTCCCCTCTCACAAAGGTTTTAAGAGTAAATAAATATTGGTTTACTGCAGGAAAATACCAAGTCTTTGCCTTTGGGCACAATTTTTACCTACGCTAAAAGACAACAGGGTGGTTTGGAAGTAAAGCAGTGTTTTGTCAAGTACACATCTTGCATGTTCTTTAGCTACAAAAAAGGTTTTTATTGTAGGATTTACCATACATAAAATCCCTCAGATACCCAGGAAAAATGGATCTACCACCAATGGCACACACATACACATCAACATCAGTAACTTGTAAAAAGGTCAACAAAATTATACAACAGCTGCTTTTTTCACCTTCAAAAAACATCCTGTTAATGGGATATAATAGTCCTTTGAGGTATAATAAAAATGCTGAGGAAGCACTGATTGCTCAGGAGATCAGTGGCTGAGATGTAGCCAATCAAACGTTCAAATGTATACTAGCTTGCTGGCTAGTGGTCATAGTAGGTCTGTACAGAAATATAGGCATTTTTGTTTTTTATTCAGTATTAGGATCCAGTCAATCAAGTTTCTCTAGGTCTGGTATAGTAATAGTACTGCTGATATTATTCCAGTAGTCATTATTTGAATCATCATTGTGCTTGACAAAAAATATGATTTGTATACTACTGCAGATGTGTTGGAATTTGAATTTTGGATTGGATTTTAAAACCTGACCATATCTGTGGTCTGTGTGCTGGAAACATGCAACTCCAGCAACATGAAATCAGTAAGGGCACTACCACTGTTTTAGAGCTGCTAAATGCGTTCTGCATTGTTAAGTCTCACATTTTTCATTTTAGTCTGGTAATGGTCTCACTTCTGCTTTGTAGCAACAGCAGCATTGTTCAGCTCCATAAATTAATAATGAGCAAGCTACTGGCTGACAAGGCAAATGCCTTATGTCCTAGTTCAAGAACTAAAAAGGTTACTAAAGCAAAATCTGTATAGCAGTTCAGTGCTACAGCCTGCTAGGTAGCAGTCTGTTTCTAAAGGTAGGACACCATAGCAGATGGCTAGCACAACTTAGGTAAGATTGCAAATCCTTTTTTGTAAAGGCTGATGTTCCTTAATGTTCTAAAATGCATGTGCTTAGTCCAGCTGCCCTCAAATTTGGTGTGGGTAACAGGAATGTGGCATATGGTTGTATTCCAAATTTGTGGTCATTTGGGGGGGGGGGGGGGGGGTCCCTGACTGAGCCCTTGTCCCCTCTTGTGAGCCAGAATCTAGGGATCTTTGCTGCTCTGGGTGTGTCTGAACCATTCCCTGCTGTTAGCTAGGAACTGTGAAGGGCACTATGAGCCCCTCTCTATGCCTCTCAAGCAGAAGCCCAGATTTGGAGAATGCCTTATCATTCCAGATGCAGAGCTGAGCCCTTGGCCTTGTCCCCTGTGCCTGTGTTGGGATCTGTGGTATGGCGCTCTGTCCCTTTATGGATGTCTGAATCTTTCCTCACCCTCTCCATGTGAGCCAGCAAGAGACGGGAGGTGTTGCACCTCTCTGTGGGGAGTGGGGAATAGCTGTGGTGGAAACGTACATTGTGCACACAAGGCTGAGACTGCGCAGGAAAAAGCTTCATCACCAGGTTTTCCATTTCCCATGGAAAAACAGAAAAAAAACACATATTTCCCCTTTTACCCCAGGAAAATGTGGATTTCTCATTTTAAACAGAGAAACGTGGATTTTGCCCTTTTGCAAAGAGCTCTCTGCAGGCTGGCAGAGTTCCAGCCTGCTCGGGGGTTTGAGGGAGTGGAAGGAGGGCGGTCAGGCAGGGGGTGCCATGTGCATGTGCTGCAGCCAGGGCGCAGGTGCTGCTGCAGGGGAGCAGGAGGCTGCGGACCGAGGTCTTAGGCCCTGTAGCCTTGGCAGCTGGTGGCCCCCTCCAGCATTGCTGGGAAGGCAGGGGCCTGTGGGTGGGGGACGAGAGGCACTAGTAGGGATGGCAGGGATGGCGGGGGAGGGGAGTGAGGGGCATCAACAGGGCCAGGGGGCTGGGGTGGCAGGGAGTGAGGGGCTTGGACCTGTGTTCTGTGAGCTAAGGTGGCAGGGGGAGCTCTGATTTTCCATGATAAAAAACCCAAAATCAAATACCAACATTTATAGGTATTTAAAATTTATTTAATTATAGTGATCGAGGCACCGGTACACTTCCAAATTG